TTTTTTTTAAAAGTAGAGACAGGGTCGCGCCATGTTGCCTATGTTGGTCTCAACCTCTTGGGCTCAAGCAATCCTCCACCTCAGCCTCCCAAAGGGCTGGGATTACAGGTGTGAGACACTATGCCTGGCCTCCAGCGCTCATTCTATGGAAAATGTCACCCAAACCAGTGAGACCAGTGGCTCCTAAAGATGGTGATCCTTTGAGAAGTTTCTATAAAAATATAGATTTCTAAGCCCTGTCGCTCAATATTCTTTTTCAACAAATCCAAGGACCAAGATTTATCCGTATTTTCACCAGGTGATTCTGGTGACCCACCAGTTTGGAACCAGCTGGTGGTATGGTTGGTTTTTTTCATGCAGAAAGCATGGAGACTTCTATTTTATTTCTGGAGATGGGGGTCTCGCTATGTTGCCCAGGCTGGAGTGCAATGGTTATTCACAGGCATGATCATAGCTCAATGAGGCTGGAAACTCCAGACCTCAGGCAATTCTCCTGTCTCAGCCTCCTGAATAGCTGTGTGCACCACTGAGCCCAGCAGGCATGGAGATTTTGGACTGTTCCTGCACATGGAAACGGGAAGCATTAAGAAAGCTGTCTGGGAACTCTGCACAGGTGTTTCGCCTGCTAGGCCTGCTTCTGGTGAGGAGGCAGGAGTGGGCCGTTAAGCTGGGTGTCCCACAAATGCTGGAAAGTGGAGGGTTCTGCTCTGAGGCACAAAAGCGGCAGCAGCAATTAATGCTCCCCCCTGGACTACAAACTGCCTGAGGGCACATCTGCTTTCAGCTGGATGAGTGTCTGAACCCAGGACCAGTCAGTACTCACGGTAGACAGACACGAGGTTATACAGGGCCCAGGTTGCCCAGTGCTGGCTGACAGGAGAGATTCCCTGGGGAAGGAGGCGGAGAATTGGTTCAAATGACCTGCAGGAAAAGAAATCAAGGTCACTGTGGATACTGGGGGTGAGGAGTGTGTCTTTTCTTGTTTGAGGTTTCCTCCCACTGGGGAATCCTAGTGACCAACCATGACAGGTTGGCAGGATGCCAGGGAGAAGGGACAGCTGGCCCTGCATCCCACTGGCAGGCTGCACAACGAGGCTCCCTTGGAGAGAGGATAAAGGCACAAGCACATGAGGGAGGCAGAGGGGACCCAGATTAGGAGGAGCAGAAAGCTGGAGACCTCAGCAAGGAGCAGAGACCCAGCCTGGGGAGAAGGGGAGACGCACCCTGGGAACAGAAGCACGTGTGACTGTTTTTTTTTTTTGAGATGGAGTTTTGCTCTGTCGCCCAGGCTGGAATGCAGTGGAGCGATCTCCACTCATTGCAACCTCTGCCTCCTGGGTTTAAGCAATTCTCCTGCCTCAGCCTCCTGGGTAGCTGGGATTACAGGCGTGTGCCACCACACCCAGCTAATTTTTTTTTTTTTTCTTTTGAGACGGAGTCTTGCTCTGTTGCCCAGGCTAGAATGCAGTGGAGCGATCTCAGCTCACTGCAAGCTCTGCCTCCTGAGTTCATGCCATTCTCCTGCCTCAGCCTCCCGAGTAGCTGGGACTACAGGCACCCGCCACCACACTCGGCTAATTTTTTTGTATTTTTAGTAGAGACGGGGTTTCACCGTGTTAGCCAGGATGGTCTCAATCTCCTGACCTCGTGATCCGCCTGCCTCAGCCTCCCGAAGTGCTGGGATTACAGGAGTGTGCCACTGTGCCTGGGCTAATTTTTGTATTTTTAGTAGAGACAGAGTTTCAGTATGTTGGTCAGGTTGGTCTCAAACTCTTGACCTCAACTGATCCGCCTGCCTCAGCTTCCCAAAGTGCTGGGATTATAGGCATGAACCATCATGTCTGGCCCTTTTTTCGTTTTTGAGACTGAGTCTCACTCTGTCACCCAGGCTGGAGTGCAGTGGTGCAATCTCGGCTCACTGCAACCTCTGCCTCCTTGGGTTCATATGATTCTCCTGCCTCAGCCTCCCGAGTAGCTGGGACTACAGGCGCATGCCACCACGCCCAGCTAATTTTGGGTTAGAGCATCATTTTGCTGTTGGCCAGGCGGGTCTTGAACCCCTGAGCACCTGCCTTGGCCTCCCAAAGTGCTAGGATTACAGGCCACTGTGAGCCACTGCACCCAGACTAATTTTTTTTTTTTTTTTAGCCACTGTGCCCGACCTTTTTTTTTTTTTTGAGAAAGGGTCTCGCTCTGCTGCCCAGGCTGGAGTGCAGTGGCGTGATCAGAGCTCACTGCAGCCTTGACCTTCCAGGCCATGCAAGTGCTCCTCCCACCTCAGCCTCCTGAGGAGCTGGGACTACAGGTGTGAGCCACCATGACTGAATAATTAAAAACAAAATTTTTTTGGCCGGGCGCAGTGGCTTACGCCTGTAATCCTACCACTTTGGGAGGCTGAGGCAGGTGGATTGCCTGAGCTCAGGAGTTTGAGACCAGCCTGGGCAACACAGTGAAACCCCGTCTCTACTAAAGTACAAAAAATTAGTTGGGCATGGCAGCATACACCTGTAATCTCAGCTACTTGGGAGGCAGGAGAATTGCTTGAACCCGGGAGGTGGGGGTTGCAGTGAGCCAAGATCGCACCACTGCACTCCAGCCTGGGTGACAGTGTGATTCTCCGTCTCAAAAAAATAAATTTTTTTGTAGAGGTGAGGGCTCAGGCTGGTTTCAAACTCCTGAGCTCAAGTGATCCTCCTGCCTCGGCCTCCCAAAGTGGCTGGGATTCTAGGCGTGAGCCACCGCATCCAGCCTATGACTGCTCTTCTGACAAGGGCCTTCTGTGGGCCAGCATGGAGTCATGGTCCAAAAGCCTGAAACACGTGTGTGCAAAACTCCTGGGCCAGCGATTCTGCTTCCTTTCTCCCCAAGAACTATAGTACTTCGCGCATTGGCAAAACTGTCAGTGTCAGCCTGTTCCTCCCAACATGGGTTTTCAACTGAAATGTCCATCTGTACAGGATGGTACAAAGAGAGTGACTCCGTCCTAAAATGACGAGGGAGATCCTTGCCTGGTGATTGGCCATTCAGTCACAAAACAGTAGGAATTGATGCCAGCTTGACTTAAAGTAATGAAATCTGTGCATAGAAACACTGCTGGAAGAAGAGACACCAAAATGTCAACAGGGGTTCTCTTTCAGGGAGTGAGATTATGAACAATTCCTGTTTTCTTCTTTTTTTTTTGAGATGGAGTATCACTCTATTGTTGCCCAGGCTGGAGTGCAGTGGTGAGTTCTTGGCTCACTGCAACCTCTGCCTTCTGGGTTCAAGTGATTCTCATGCCTCAGCCTCCCAAGTAGCTGGGATTACAGGTGCCCGCCAACATGCCTGGCTAATTTTTGTATTTTTAGCAGAGATGGGGTTTCACTGTGTTGGTCAGGATGGTTTCGAACTCCTGACCTCAGGTGATCCGCCTGCCTTAGCCTCCCAAAGTGCTGGGATTA